CCTTGGTTTGTTTTGAGATTTGTTCTGGTGTGGTGTGTCACTTTAGTTAGTTTTTTTACTTTATTTAGAAAACACTTTTTCAAACCCCCCTATCTTTTAAGTTAGTTTATAGATTTTAGTTAGTGTTTTTATTCAATAAAAGTGATAAGTGAACTGATTTTCATAGCTTAAAAAGTATCTTTCCTCGTGGGATCGACCCTTACTTGCCCTATCTATATGTTTTAATGAATATTATTTCAAAAAGGGGGTTAAAAGTTAAGGAAAATAATAAATTAATTTTTAGGTGCTACGACACGCCTATCAATAATGCCTTATGCTCAATTTGAACTGGAAGGTGACAAGACTTTCCGTATACCTAGTGAAAGGGAGTTGTACCAATTGGTGCTTTATATGCTGTGCGAAATGCCCATAGAGCATCATCAAGTTTCTCGCTCCAATCCTTCCTCGTTCGAGCAACAGTCTTTTCCAAGATTCTCTTTAAATCCCTGTTTGCATTCTCCACTTGTCCTTGCGTCTGAGGGTGGTACGCTACTCCTCCTCTATGCTGAACTCCATAACGTTCTAATGCCTTAGATAGTGGATCATTTCTGAAATGGGTACCTTTGTCACTTATTATAAGTTTCGGTACTCCAAACCTCGAAAACAGTTTCTTTAAGAAGCGAACCACAGTACGGCCATCATCTCTTTTGCAAGCTTGGGATTCAACCCATTTGGAGACGTAATCAATAGCAACAAGGATGTATTTATTACCATAGGAACTCGGGAATGGCCCCACAAAGTCGATTCCCCATACATCAAATACTTCACAGGGCAGCATGTAATGCTGTGGCATCTCATCTCTTTTAGATACATTGCCCGTTATTTGACAGCGGTCGCAGGAAGCAGCAAACTAATTAGCGTCCTTAAAAAGCGTTGGCCAAAAGAATCCTGAGTCCAACACTTTCCTTTCCGTCCTTCCTCCTGAGAAGTGTCCGCCAACTGGGCCACTATGGCAGGCTGCCAAATTTTCCTTTCCTTCTGCTACAGTCACGCATCGCCGAACTACTTGGTCCGCACAAATCCTGAAAAGGTAGGGGTCGTCCCAAAAGTAGAACTGAGCTTCTCGTTTAAGCTTCTTGCTTAGGTGCGGTGTGAGCAAGGTAGGCTCGATCTTCCCTGCCAAATAGTTGGCAATATCCACATACCAAGGCTCCTTTTCTTGTATAATGTAAATCCTCTCAAAGGGAAAGGACTCGTTCACTGTAGAATTGCCAAATTGCTCGGCTACTTCCACATCTAGTCGGGATAGATGATCTGCAGCTTGATTTGCCAATCCATTTCTATCCTTGATCTGTAAATCAAATTCCTGCAACAATAAAACCCAACGTAATAACCGAGGCTTTGCATCATTCTTTTGCAACAGGTACCACAACGCCGCATGGTCGGTGTAAACGATAACTGGAGAAAGAATGATGTAAGGCCTAAATTTTTCCAAAGCGTATACAATTGCTAGGAATTCTTTCTCAATAGTTATGTAGTTGAGTTGTGCTCCTGACATGGTTTTACTAGCGTAGTAAATTGGGTGAAAAACCTTTTCCTTCCTTTGTCAAAGGATTGCTCCTACTACTAAGTCGCTAGCGTCACACATAAGTTCAAATGGTAATGCCCAATCTGGGGAATAAGAACTAGGGCTGAGATTAGTTTTTCTTTCAAGGCATTGAATGCTTGTAAACATTCATCTGTAAAAACAAACTCTATACCTTTCTCTAGTAGGGCAGTTAGGGGTTGGTGGTCCCAAAGTGGTGAGATACAAAGTCTAGAGGGGGGGGGGTGAATAGAGTTTGTTACAAATTTAAAAACTTTTTCGTTTCTTTTGAAAACGTGAAAATGAGTGTTAATCTAGAGTTCTTGTGAACTTTAGATTGTGTGCGGAATTTTGGTGGGTAGAGTGAGCAGTAATCAATATGGATAGGTTAGTTTTCACATTTAATATAATTGCAAGTAAGAGTAAAGATAAAAGAGAGAGACACGCAAACTTTAACGAGGTTTGAAGGTGGGGTAATCCTTCTACGTCCTCAAAATCCGCTATGTAGTTGGTTTTTGAAAAATGAACCAACAATTACACTTGTGTGAATTTCTGCACGGTATATCTTCAATATGCCAATGTTGCTACTGCACTCGTGCTGGCTTTGTTGTTCGTTCGAAGGTCAAGCTTCTTCAACAACTGCAAGGTCCGAACAATAGGACTTGCAAGATCAACTTGTAAGAAAGTTGACCTACCCCCTTTTAATCATTAAGTTTGATCAAAAGTAGAATCCTTCAACGTGGTGTGGTACTTGAGGCAAGGAAACCTTCAAGTGTTTACACTATAGCTCTTTGGAAGGAGGAGTAGTTTGCTTCTGGATAAGGAGTTTAGAAATCTCTCTTTATCAAGCTTTTTGGACTAACTGTGAATGAGATAGCTTTGTTGTTAGAGATTGCTTCGTTGTGTTGTTGTATCAACGTATCTCATCGTGTGTTCTCCAGTCTTCCAAGGATGCTATTTATAGCTGGATTGGATAATCTATCTGTTGAATAATAGACTATCTGTTGCATTTGCTGGCTTCAATTATGAATGAAGATTGTGATTTGAAGATTCTTTGTTGAAGTGGGTATTTGGACATACCCAATTGTTTGAGAAGTGATTCCACTTTTCTCAGAATCCGTCTTCTAGCTGTTGTTCAAGAATTCAGGACTGTAGGACTTTACTCTGTTTGTCTTCTAGTGCTTGTTTAGGAATTCTAGACAGGCTCTTCAGTTTTAGAGGTCCAGACTTTGTCTTCGAGTCATTTGTTCTTGAATCAGCATAATTATCTTCAATCTAGCCATTGAAAATCAAGAGATTGATTTTTCCTTACCAACGGGTAGAATTTCTTCATTCAAGACTTAGATAACTTTCTAAGTCTTTTCTCACTTGTCCGCTTTCTGAGAATTCCGGTGTTCAATGAGTCTTCCGATTCTTAGCTGACAAATCCGGAGGAGTCATTCTCAGACTTCCGGGTGAGAAAACCGCGCTAGTCTTCCGACTTAGTCTTCAGCGGGTTGTAGCGAGACATCCGGTTCTTATGTAGTCTTCCGGATCAGAGGATTTTCATCTGCTTGAGAAATCCTTACTTGTCTCTAACATTCCCGATCAAGATATCCAATTTCCATATCACTGAATTTGATTAAGTCTTCAGGCATCAAAACGCTTAAAGAAATATCACAACTTTATTGGAAATCTCAAGAACTCGGTTTTGACAATATTTCTAAAAAGAAAAATTACATTGAATATTGGGGGAGGCCTAAAGTCCCTATTACATTCTAAATACATCATCATCAAAATCTATAATATTTTTCCCAACAATTTCCCCCTTTTTGATGATGACAAACAAGTGTTTAAGAGTTCCGGTCGCTGTACTGAGAACTAATTTTATAACTTTCTTTTAGTTTCTCATAACATACAGCTTGTTAACAAAAACTCTTAAACAGATACAATTCAAATTACAANACAATATTTCTAAAAAGAAAAATTACATTGAATATTGGGGGAGACCTAAAGTCCCTATTACATTCTAAATACATCATCATCAAAATCTATAATATTTTTCCCAACAATTTCCCCCTTTTTGATGATGACAAACAAGTGTTTAAGAGTTCCGGTCGCTGTACTGAGAACTAATTTTATAACTTTCTTTTAGTTTCTCATAACATACAGCTTGTTAACAAAAACTCTTAAACAGATACAATTCAAATTACAATAATTCCTAAACCAAGTCTTGTCTTGAGATTTTGTGATATCTTTCTCCATTGACCGTTTTCAGCTTCAGCAGATTCTGCTTGGCAGAGCGGTTGGTGTTGCGTTTGATAGATCTTTAATATCCAAAGCGGATATCTAAGATCATGGAAGCAACACATCTCTCAAAAAGCAAAAAAACAAGAACAAAAACGAAAGAAGAAAACGAAAGAAGAAAACAAAAGAAAGGCAGAAAGACAAGAAAGAAAAGGTTTTGGAAAAGAGAATTGATTGTGAAAAAGATAAAATAAGGTTTTTAAAGATGAAGGGAAAAACAAAAAAAATTTAAAAGATTTTAAAAGTAATGTTTGAGAAAGAGAACAAATTCTGCACAGAAAAGATTTGAAGAAAATGCTTGGGAGAAGGGTGCAGAGACTGTCCAAAAATAAGAAAAATAAAGTCCAGAAAAAGAAAGAGAGGGAGGGGAAAGAGATCAAGGTAAAAATAAAAAGAAAAATAGAGAGAGTGTTGTTCTAGAGAAAGTGTATGGTATAATCCTGAAAAATACGAGAATTACACCATAAACTTTCTCTACTGCCGAGAATTGCACCATAAACTTTAGATTACTTTTCTTCTCACTAGGCTTTTCTCCATTGCCGTCTATGAGGGTGAGAAAGAAAAATTTCTCCATTGAGGATATTTTCCTTGGTCTTTTTCTCAGACAGTGAACTTGAAGACTTTCATATTGAGAGAGTTGTTTGCGATGGAATTGGATTGGAATGTCTTGATTTAAATAGGAGAGGAGGAGGTTCACGGGTTCCATTAAGAGAGTAGTTGGAACGGTGAGAGTAAAGGAGTTTCAACTTCCAAGAAGTTGAATTCTGAAAAGTTGAAAGAATCTTTTACCGATTTCCAAGGAATTGAAACTGTTCCAATTAGAAAATCAGTTTTGTTTGGTTTGAGAAACGTAACTATCTTAGTTTGGCTAAGCCCAAAAGAGTGGCCCAAAAAGAAAAGAAAGCTATGTACTAAAGGGAAATTATTCCCATTGGGTTCTCAAGGCCCAAAATAAAACTATCATTTTTCATTCCCTATAGTTCTAATTTCTAGATAGGACGAGGTAGTACCAAAATAGATATAAAATTTATTTTTTAAAAAAAGGTGGTACTATTATTCCAAAGTTCTGTACATTATAAAAATCCTAAGGACCAGTACTTTTAGAGCTAGTTGGAAATGAATTAAGGATTAAAGCTTAGTTTAAGAAGGCAGATTTTGTAAAGTACCTGAATCGGAGATTTCCAATTTTAGTACCAAAACTGAGATATCCGTCTTCCATTGCTTAGAGCTCATCAATAATTCATTGCCAAAAACAATTGTTAGCCAAAAACTAGTTAAGTTCCCCCTGAATTACGTTCCCCCTGAATGTATGCGCTTCAGGGAAAAAAATTTCAAAATCATACTTGAGATAAGCATAATCAAGCATAATAAGCATAATTAAGAGAATTGTTGAAGCAATGTATAAACCAATCAAGCAATGTTTAAACAAGAAGGTGTTTTCATCAAAACAAATTAGTGTTTTCACATACTAGAACCTTTAGTTTCTCTTGCGTTTTGAAGATCCGGCAACCTCACTGATGCCCTTCATGTTTCCAGATAGTTCTTGGTTGCGCCTTAAGTTGTTGCGTCTTTCCTCTGTTAGGACATCATTTGAGAAATGGGCAGCAATTGTTCCTATAGCCTCTGTTCCATCAAGTCCTGAGCTGGATAGATGCTGTGCTGAATTTTCCGGACTTCTTTGTTGTGCTTCAAGGATTTGATTAGTCATGTTCAGATGAGAAGGAATATAAGAGACTTCTCCTTTTTTGACTGTAATGGGGAGTTGTGGTATTAAGGATGGACTGTGCTGTTGAAGAATCACTTCCATCTTGCGGTTTCCAGAATTTGCGCCAATAAGTCTGAACAGCTTGTATGCTTCCTTTTGATTGTCAATGATCACCTTCAAGTAGTCTTTGGTCACTACCTGATTTGCTGAAGCTACTGCTAGGGCTGATCTGATGTCCATTTGGAGAAGGGACATCTGTTTTTGTAAACCAATGGTGACGCTTGCTATTTTCTCTTTGACTTTGTTGATCTCTTTGAGTTGAAGTTGACTGTCAGAGGCATATATTTCCATCGTGTTGCTCACAGTTTCACTCAATAGAGAGATGATCTCTAGAGTCTTGTGCACTGACTTGCTTATTTCTTTGAGATCTGTGCTGTGTTTCTCTTCAGATTTCTCTATCAGCTTGGTGTACCTGGCTTCCATTTGCTCTATCTCTTGCCTAAAAGAGGCATGTTGAGATGCTAGGGCTGATTCAATCAGCCCTTGGAGCTTCTTTGTCCAGATTTCCGGTACATCATTCGGAAAGGTAGGGGTGGAAGAGCTATGAAAATGAAAGTTGGTTACCTGATGAGAGGAGGGTGTTCTTTGGAAGAGTTGCATAGGAAGAGATTCAGCATCTTCTTGTACATCTTTTTCATCAGCAACCTTTAGTGTCCTTTTAGACTCTCCTTCTGCTTCGTCAAGTGCAAAATTTGATATGCATCTAGAGAGGGAGTCATTATCCTCAGCTTCATTCTGTTCTTCAAAGATGGCTATTGGAGTTTTAGAGACCTCTAGTTCTGCCATTTGAGTTTCCTTCTCTGCTTCTCCAGAATTCCTTTGTGCTTCTACAGCTTGCTCCTCTTCATTTGTTTCTGGGAAGGATGACTGTTCCGGAATTTCTGCTAACTTCTCCGGGATCTCAGTTTCAGTATGATTGGAGATCTCACAAGGAGTTGTGAGAGTCTCTAAAACTTGAGATTGGATTAGTTTCTGAAATTCTTCTTCTTCTGCTGTTTTCTGGTTCTGTTCTTGTGGGGGAGAGGCTGCCTTCTCTTGGACAACTTTAGTCAGAACCATTTCAGAAGCATGTGAGGTTTCCCGAAAAGCAGGTGAGATTTCCGTTTCAAAGGCAGGTGAGGCTTCCGGAAATGTTTGGAAATCCTCAGCTGTTGCTTTCAAAACAGCCTGTGCTTCAGACGTGAGAATCACTTGATCTTTTGTGGCTTTTGAGAAGACTGGCTTGAAGACTGCAGGATCCTCATCATCCATTCCAAAGTCTGAAACTGGTGTGTCGGCCAGGTATTCCAGATGCAAGTCTTCATGGTTCCTTTGCCATACCCAGTAGTCATCCAGAATTTGTTCACAGTTGTGGTTGACTGGTATTCCTAAGCACTTCTTGATAATCTTCTCATTCTTCAGTTGTTGCTCCCAATTCAATAGTTGCTCTGCTGAATTTCCAACTTTCCAGGCTTTCCAATCATAGTAGAGCTGCCATAATTGGTTATCAGTATCATCTATTTGAGGTTGAGGTGATGAGGTTGGAAGGCTTTGGACTTGAGGGATTTCTTCTTCAAGTTGTTGAGGGCTCCGGTTTTGGGCAGAGGTTTCCTCAGCAGGTTCCTTCTCCTTCAACTTATCCGAGTTGATATTTCCAGAGGTTGAAGGAGAGGTGATCTTCCTCTTTTTCTTCCTTTGAAGTTCTCCATGGTCAGAGTGTAACACCCCAACCCGCATGACCCAAACCCGTGAGACAGCGGACCGGTGTGCTACTGAATTGGTATCCGAATTTGCGACATTTTCAAAACAATTTTAAACGAACGTTCTTTCAATACATATGAAAATCCATCGGAGTAATTTAAAATAATGCGGAAGCCTTTTTAAAGTCAAACAACTTGGGATCTTGCCCGAAAACGTAATAAGCATTAAAGTTAATTAAATAAAGCATAATCAACAGATTAAAGAGACAGCCACGCCATCGTACATCTCCTCCTCAATGCCCTCTGGGATCGGCTCTAGGTTCATCTGTCTGATCACCTACGGACAGCAAAAGAATACAACGCTATCCGCTCAGCATTGACGCTGAGTGGTACTCCATTGTAGCACAAGAATAAACATAATAATTCAACAATTAAGATCGTGCATATGTTTATCCTTTTAATAAAAATCAATTCAACTTTACATTCGGTTCTTTAGACGGTTGACCAACAGTCAACTTATTTTCTTTCTTTTCAAAACAATTTAGGTGTTACGGGTTTCTCATGAATTCTTTGACCACCGGTCAAACTAATTTAGACTTTCACCAAAGTCAAACCACTTAACATTTATTTGCTATGACGGAGATAGCCTCAATC